CTTCTTTGATTTCCCATTCAGGTTAAATTAGCAAGTCTGAAATCTGGTTCTGAAAGCAACTGACTTTATTGAGAATTCATAAAAATATAGTGCTTGAGTCTATGGGCATTGAGTGAGGCTAACTGGACTTGATTTATATAGATGTCTGTGAGCACATTGGTGTCTTTGCCTTTGTTTCCTCACTTATCAAATGGAGCTGCTAAGACCTATCTTACAAGATTGTTGAGTTAATAAGTGCAACGCTTTTACACCAGAGTCTGGACTAGCAAGCATCCTGTGAGCCTGTGACCAGTGAGCCACCAGCATCCCCACAGTGTGTCACCCCCTCAGTGGCTTTTCTTTCTGTACACCTTACCCGCTCCATCCTCTACCACCCTGTCATGAGTTGACCTTCCTAAAGTGAACAGTTCATGTGCTTGGCTCTCATCTTCAAAGTCCCCAAGTAGGTCTTTGCTTTCCAGATTCAAGTGCCTTTGTAGCTATTATCAAGGCTAGTCGGTCCTAATGAAAAACTGCCAAAACTCAATTAGTCCACTATGGATGGGGGGAATCTGTTCATGCCTAGTTTCTCTCCGTGAATGGGTAACATCTTCTTCTAAACCTCTTTCATATCACATGTTCATGTTTAACTGATAGGGTCATTGTGACATCTTTTGTCATTTGTGCAAAATCCCAACTTATTCCCTCTACCTTTCTGGTTGGATGTCACCTTAAAAAGTGAGGCAACGTTATTAAAATGTCAAAACAAGTAAAACTCCTTAAGGCATTGTATCCGATAACAACAGATTTTCTTTCTTGTGTGTGTGTATTTCATGTTCTTGTTGTGTACTGGCCTCTGCATTGCTGTTGAATGAAGGACTCCCATTGTTGCTCTGTAGTGCCATTTCTCTTCCAGTTGTGCTGTGTCTCTTTACTCCCCCATTGACTGATGTTAAATTTGGGGGACTTGTTGGCTCTATGTTAGCCATCCCTTTCTTTTAAACTCTTCTTCAGTCATTTGGTTTTAGTTTTTCTTGCAAGCAGTCAGTACCTGTCCTGTCCTTCTAGCTCAGTCTAACACTATCTTTCAGTGGGGAAATCTGGCTCTTTCATTTTTATTCTGAGTGATACTTGTTCTTGTTACTTTCCTTTTATCTTGTTCATTATTTATATTTGCCACTCATTTTTCTTAATTCTGCTTATATTTTCAAGTTGATAACAATTTCCCAATTTCCTTTCATTGATGGGACAGTTTATGGAAACTTTCTTCTGTGTCACTATCATGATTGCCTCCCCTCTCTCTTCTGTTTCCTTCTTCTGTGGACTCTTCTGGAGCCCTTCCCGTGGCTGGTTTATTAGGTTGCCCCGAAGTGTTCTTTCATTTTACATTATGATTTTCATCTTTTGTATTTTTTTACTTTATTTTTTCAGGTTTCTTATAACTGATCTTTCAAACTGCCAGTTGTTCTCTGTCCTTTTCTTTCTCTTGAGAATTTTAATTTTAACTAACATTTTTCTAGCATTTTTCTATAGTCTGCTTATTCTCCTTAAGTATTCATACTATTTTTGACCTCAACTTTTTTCTGTCTCCAGAAGATCTGTTAGTTCTTGCCTTCCCATTTCCTTCTTCCCTTAGGCATGTTATTTATAAGTGCATTGTAGCTCAGCCTGCATGGTTGCAGCAGGCAGGCTGTCTCCTTTTAGCTGCTTACCTGACAGACTCTTTACTTTCCTTCAGTCTTCTTCCATTCCTTAGCCCCAGGAGTAGAGTGGACTCTCCCTTTTAGTGAGTGCTTTTGGGGCCAGGGAGCCACATCTGTGTGCCAAATTCCTTTGGAGCTCTGTTGAACTAACTATGATTGATCTGAGAATCTTGCACAATGTAGAAGCCAGTAAAAATAGGACCGAGAGGAAAGTTAGAAGAAAGAAATAGGAGTTGAAAAAGCAGCTGTGAGTTAACGGGAAGAAGACATGGAGATAACATAGAAATTGGAAACCAAATATAATCAGAACACTTTACTCTGGCTAGTAATTACAACCTCTCCTTTTCTTAAGCCATCTAGTAGTGTTGCTGATAAATAGTATTAGAAGAGATTATACATTAAAGAGACCCGTTCTGTTCCAGAAAATTAAAACAAAGAAGCCTTCAGTAGAATTGAGAATGGATGAAAGAAATGCTATACCTTATATGCTCAGGTTGTAAAGTTAATGGAAATATATGTATATTTATGTTTAAATAGCCACTTACCTTAAATATTTGAGATTTGAATTATGCACACATGCCACCTTTAGTTGGATTATTTGATGTTCAGTTTGTCCCAATAAGCCTCAGGGAAAGAGAATTTGAATTATACAACATGTGTAAACTTCATACTGGATGATAATTAGTGCGCACTACTCAGTGGCACTTAATATTGAGGTTAGTGGTTCAGTAAAAAATTTGAAAAGCCACTGACTGAATCCTCTGTGTGTGTATATGATAGATAAGCTGAGAATCAGTGAAAGCTTTAATTCTATCTCAGTAGTACTTAATGTGTGGCTGTGTGTCTAAGCCACTGTTTTACATTCATTACATGTATGAAATGGTTCCTGATGATTTGTGTATAAACTTTGTCATTTATCACAGGCAGCCAAAGAAAATGCTCCCCTACATGATAGAAACCATTCTCTACTTTTTCCCTGCATTTCTCAGTTTTACTTGGCTACAACATTGTTATGGAATGTGTTTGTCCTCTTAGCTTTTGAGTTCTCTCTCGTTGCTTAAAGAAAACTTTTCAGGTGGCAACGTTATAAAAGGAGAAAGAACAAGAGTGACCAAGCCACTTGCTTGTGCCAAGATTTATTAAGTAGGTGAAAAGGTGACACTAAGAGCTTAGACCTGAGTCCTAAAAAATTATGAAAACTTAACATTTCTAGAGCTTTGTATATATAGCATTATGTATATTTAATTAAGACAAGAATTTAAACTTCTTATGAAATAAAATTCTGTATCCGATGCCACTGTGTACCTTATGTTAAGAATTCGAGTTTGTTCTGCAGAAGAATATTAAAAAAGAACTCATGGAAAGTCCTCTGTAGCCCTCCCTCCACCCTGGTGCTGAAATGTTAGTGTTTTTCAATTCTTAACATTCGAAATGTGTTGGCAATTTTATAATTGTATGTTTTTTCAAAGTTCCTTTATAAAAGTATGTGCAATACTTCATGTAGGTTGAATATTAAACAGTTAATACTTGTGTGTTCTTGAGCCATAGTTAGAATACTGATTGCAAATGACCAAAATTCAGTAACTCATCAAACCAATTTAAAAAATACTCAAGGATATTAGATTTCGAAATGTTTTCTTAATTTAGTTTGTCCATTTTACTTTAATTATTCATAGCAATAGCATAACCTTCCAGGAAATGTCTTATAATAGAATTTATAGAATAATGACATTTCAGTAATATGAACTCTATTTTTAAAGCATTCTGTTTTAAAATCTCAGCTTTAGATATTATGTAAGGAATTGTCTTGTTTAATGCATAAAACCAGATCTTTGCTCAGTAACTTTATTCATTAAATTTGAAACCAAATGCTCCCTTGAGAAAATAAATGGAATATGTAGAGTTGGTTTATATTTTCTTGGGCTTAAGTGGGAGAGTTAGGAGTGAAAAGCTAGGCATGGTGGCACAGGCCTGCTTGAGAGGCTGAGCCAGGACAATTGCTGTGAATTCAAGGCCAATTCTGATTGCATAGTGAATTTAAGGCCAGCCTGAACTACATAGCAAGGCCTTGACTCAAAAAACAAAACCAAACAAACAACAACAACAAACAAGCCTGAAGATGTAAATTCTAGTTGAAAATTTGGACATTTATTTGTCTTTGGTTTATTAGAAGATGGAAATCAGCAAGAAAGAGCTCTTCTTTTATTATTGGCGTGAAATTTTGGCTGTCCAGAATCTACTTGTGTTTCTTATTCTTTTATCATTAATGGTAGAGATTCACAAGTATGGTAAATATGGACTCAGGTTTTATTCCTAAACAGAAAAATTATTTAGAGGTTGTGTATTTTGAGGTGATTATATGAGTGAAGAAATAGATAATATTTGAGATGAAATAGGAGCAATTACCTCTTTTCACATGATTACACACAGTAATTGCTAATGACTTTAGTCCATTTGATATTTAGGTGGAATCTTGGTTCTGTTATATTCCCTTTTTTCAGCTGTAATAGGGACGTACTCCTTAGCTGATGAAATTTTAAATGGAATAAAATAATTATTTTTAAAATCTCAAATTAGAAATTGTTTCCTTTGGAGGGTCTTATGAGTTTTTTTTTATATTGCAAAGTCATTTGAAATTTAATGTGACTTGACTTTCCTAGGTGACCCCGAGCTATTTTCCCACCTCCTTCTCAGTCTTGTGCTATAGCTAGATGCTGTTCCCCAAACACACTCTGTGATTTGCTCCCTTAGTTTAGTTTATTCTGGTCCCTGGTCTCTAAGTACCATTTTCTTCTTCTCTCTCTCTCTGGTAATTATTTGCTTATCCTCTGGGACAAATTGGCCTGATGCTTCTTTATTAAATAAACTGAATTATTCTTCCCCCAACAGGACTGCATAGTCCTGACTTTGGTTTCTGTAGCTCTTTATAGATGGCTCTTCCAACAACCATCAGTCATAAGTAGGTCATAAATACTAAGGGTGGGACCATGTGTTATCCATCTTTGTATCTTCTAGGACAAGGTTGTGGTTAACATTTGTTGAACTGAAATGTTTAAAAACTCTATGCTTCCAGTGATTAAGAAGACAGCTTGCCTCATTAAATTCTTTGATCATAGTAACCCTCTCTCCCTGTTTTCCACATATACTGTACTGACGTGTTAAGCTCTGATGTTTGGCTTGTATTTTTGGTATTTTAGAGCTAGTTTGAGAGCAATCAAAATAGAATAATTTTATGTATATCAAGTTCAAGAAAATTTCCTTTTGAGTATTTGTTTCTATTTAGTTTTGAGAGTTTATTTTCTTCTCCCCTTTCTGCAGGACCCTAATAGGAGTATTCATACCAGCAGCAGCAGCAGCAGCAGCAGCAGCAGCAGTAGCAGCAGCAGCAGCAGCAGCAGCAGCAGCAGCAGCAG